CGGGCACCGGGAGCGGGACGGGCACCGGGAGCGGGGCGGACACCGGGAGCGGGACGGGCACCGGGAGCAGGGAGGGCACTGGGAGCAGGATGGACACTGGGACGGGCACTGGGAGCGGGGCGGGCACCGGGAGCAGGATGGACACTGGGACGAGCGCCGGGAGCGGGGCGGGCACCGGGAGCGGGGAGGGCACCGGGAGCGGGACGGGCACCGGGAGCAGGGAGGGCACCGGGAGCGGGGAGGGCACCGGGAGAGGGCCGGGCACCGGGAGCATGGAGGGCGCCGGGAGCAGGACGGGCAGCGGGAACAGGGCAGGCACCGGGAACGGGACGGGCACCGGGAGCAGGGAGGGCGCTGGGAGCAGGATGGACACTGGGACGGGCGCCGGCAGCGGGGCGGGCACCGGGAGCAGGGCGGGCACCGGGAGCGGGGTGGACACCAGGAGTGGGGAGGGCACCGGGAGCACGGAGGCACTGGGAGCGGGACAGGCAGCGGGAACGGGGCAGGCACTGGGAGCAGGACGGGCACCGGGAGCAGGGAGGGCAGCGGGAGCGGGACGGACCCCGGGAGCCGGGAGGGCACCGGGAGCGGGACGGGCAGCGGGAGCACGGAGGCACTGGGAGCGGGACGGACCCCGGGAGCGGGACGGACCCCGGGAGCGGGGCCGCGCTCACTCCGTGCCCCGCAGTCCCTGGAGGACTGCCGCCTGGACGAGGACGAAGACGCCTTCCAGGCGCTGGGCGAGGAGGACGAGGACATCGACCAGTTCAACGATGACACGTTCGGCTCCGGCGCCGTCGGTGAGCGCCGCCGCCSCCCGGGACCCCCGTCCCGCACGGGGGCCCCGCTGAGCAGCCCCCCGCGCTCCCGCAGACGACGACTGGCAGGAGGCGCACGAGCGGCTGGCCGAGCTGGAGGACAAGGCGGCCGCGGGCGCGGAGCGGGACGGCGACGGCGGCGACCCGCTGGGCGAGCACGAGGACACGCTGGCGGAGCGGCTCACGCGGCTCGTGATCGAGAGCGAGCTGGAGGACCCGGCCGTCATGCGGGCCGTGCAGACCAGGACGCCCGCGCAGGTGGCCGCGGGGCCGGGGCGGCGGCGGCGGCTCGGCCGGTCCCCGCGGCGCTCACCCGCTGCGTGTCCCTTGCAGCCGCCGGCAGGGCTCCACTCCGGCCTCTGGGACGGCTCGGCCGTGCTGCGGCGCATGCGGGCGCCGCTCCTCGCGCAGGTACGGAGCCGCGTCCCGCGGGAACGCTGCCGGGGCGCTTGCGCTTGTCCCGGCCTCGCCGTCGAGCCCAGATCGCTGAGCTGGGACCTCTGTGGGAAGGGGAAGCTGGSACTTTCCTCATGTCCGGTGGCGGGACAAGGGGCAGTGGGGACAAGTTGAAACCCAGGCACTTCCAYGTCCGTGTGAGGAGCAACTTCCTCACCGTGAGGGTGCCMGAGCCCTGCCACAGGCTGGGGAGCCTCCTGCTCTGGAGAGCTCCCAAACCCGCCTGGATGCAGCCTGTGCCCCGTGCTCCGGGTGTCCCTGCTGGAGCAGCAGGGTTGGACTGGATGATCCCCAGTCCTTCCCGTGATTCCGTCCCCGGTGAGCCCTCGGAGGCTTGCGGTGCTGGGAAGCACCTCCAGAGCAGCCCCGCAAAGCGCCGCGCGCTCCCGCTGCCCTCCTGGCTCCCGCTGAGGTGGGAGCGCCACGTGGGGGGACGCTGCCAGGGAATTATCCCCGGGAGCTGCTCCACCGGGAATGCCGACACCTCGAGGCACCGGGTTTGCTCTGCTGCACCTTAATGAAGAGTGAGGCCTTGGAGCGCAGGCTGGGAATGCCGTGGATATGGAGTGGGACGTGCGGSAATCCCTGGGACGGGCGGCACCGTCCCGGGAGGTGACCGCTGCCCTGGGGGGGGGGGGCTGCTCTCCCGTTGTCCCTGCAGGAGATGCCCCCGGTGTCCGTGCTGGACTACGCTCTGCCTCCGAGAGCGCCGCAGAACCGCGAGGAGGAGCGGGACCCGTCGGAGCGGGCGCTGCCGCGGCGCTCCTCGTCCCCGGTCATCGGGAGCCCGCCGGTGCGCGCCGTGCCCATCGGCACCCCTCCCAAGCAGGCCGCCGTGCCCGGCTTCAACCAGCAGGTACCTGCGGCGGCCCCGCGGCCCGCGCCGCCGGCGCCGGCTCCTCACCGCTCTGCCCTCTCTTGCTTCCCGCCCGCAGATCCTCTGCCCGAAGCCTGTCCACATCCGGGCCAGCATGCAGCAGCGCTACCCCGCTGCCTACGGCGAGAGGATGTCCCCCAACCAGCTCTGCAGCGTCCCGGTACCGTGGCTCCTCTCGGCCCCTTGCGCGGCCCGCGCGGGGCCCCTGTGCGGCGCCTGCCCCGTCACGGGGACAGCAGCCAGCAAACTGCTSTGCCTGGTCCTCCGCGGCACTGGGCAGAGTTAATCCTGCTCTTTGGAGCCTGGCCTGGCTCCCGGCCTGCCCGGGACGCTCTCGCAGGGCTCCGTCGTGCGCCCTGCCCTCCTGCGCGCGTGTCCCCGCTGGCAGGGCCGTGCCGGAGCCGTGACCGGGCTCGTCCTTCTGTTCTTTCTCCAGAATTCCTCCCTCCTGGGCCACCCGTTCCCCCACAGCGTCTCTCCCGTCCTCAGCCACCTGCAGAGAGCGCAGCTGCTCGGAGGCGCCCAGGTGACGGCCCCTTCCTGCCCCTCCAGCTCTCCCTTCCTCGGGCTCCTGCAATTCCCTGCGGCCGTTGGCTTTCCGGCTGTCCGTTGTGGCTGTTCCTGGCGCTCCGCCCCGGCCGGGCGCAGTTTTCTCCCCGGCCGTCTCTGAGCCGTCCTCTCTGCTCGCAGGCCGGCCGAATGTCTCCCAGCCAGTTTGCCCGCGTCTCGGGCCTCGTGGGGAGCCCCCTTCCCTCCGTGAACCCCAAGCTGCTGCAGGGCAGGGTTGGGCAGATGATGTCCCCGGCCAGCGGGTTCCGTGCCTTCTTCGGGGCTCCCGCCGCCTCGCAGCCCCCGCCGGGCCCCGGGTGCCACCTGCAGAGCCTCAGGTAGGTCCCATCCCGTCCGCGGCCGCCCTCGCCGCGGGCGCCTCCGGACGCCGCCGCTCTCCGCAGGCCGCCGGCGCAGATGTTCCGGCCGGACACCACGCACCTGCACCCGCAGCACCGGCGCCTGCTGCACCAGCGGCAGCAGCAGAACCGCAGGTGAGCGCGGCGCGGGGCGCCCAGCCCCTCCTCGGCGGCTCTGCAGCCCGGGCTAGCCTGTGCACTGCTCTCTGTCCCTTCCTGTAGCTCCTGTGCGCTCACGGGTGCCCTTCTTGCCTCCCGCCAGCCAGCAGCGCGGCCTCAACGGCGCCGCGGGCGACCGAGGGGGCCACCGGAGCGGCCCCCAGGAGCAGCCGCGCAAAGACCCCTACGCCAACCTCATGCTGCAGCGGGAGAAGGACTGGGTCTCCAAGATCCAGATGATGCAGCTGCAGAGCACTGACCCCTACCTGGATGACTATTACTACCAGGTAGCGGGCCTGCCKCGGCCTCGGTGCTCCCTGCAGCCCCGTGGGTCACCCAGGGCCACCGCGGGGGGACCGGAGCAGGGCAAGGCGCTCGCCGGGGCGCTCAGGCTCTCGCGCGTGGCAAACAGCAGCGCAGGGAGCGTTTCTAGACTTGGTGGCAGGCGATAAGYGGTGAAGGAGGATGGGGTGGGACGCGCGTTCCACAGCAGCTTTTCCAGGGAAGCGGGAAAAGCTGCTGTGCTGCAGGTCGAGCAGGGGCAGCCCCGAGCGCGGGGGGCACCCGGCAGGCTGGGTGTCTCCTTCCGGGGATCCAGGGGGTGAGGTGGCCCCGGACAGGGAATTTCTGAGTCCGAAAGAGGGGGCGAAGGCGATGGAGYCCGACGAGGAAGCAGGAGCAGGCGGGTGGGGAGTGACTGCTCGCGCTCTCCTCCGGTTCAAGAGTAGGGAGCCGCAGACGGGGCCAGGAGGAGCGGGATTTGAAGCCCACAGAGCAAGGCGGTGGTCGGGCTCTTGCCAAAGGCGGCGGCTGCTCAAGGCTCAGCTGGGGCCAGGGCGGCTTTCCCGTGGGAGGGAAGTCCACCGAGGACTTGGAGCTAGTGCCTTGTGGCACGGGAGCACCTTGAGCTGGGCTTGGGAGAGCATGTGGGGCAACCGTGACCTGTGCCCACCTGGTTCTGTACCCCTTGCRCGTGTAAAGAGCCCTTAGTAGTGACTGTGGGTGCTTGTGGAGGAGCCAGTGGGCAGAGRGGGGCAGAGAAAGTGCGGAGAGGAGCCGGCCGCGGTTCCCGGGGAGGTCCCAGAGCAGCCGCGCGGTCGCGAGCGGGAGCTGGTGCTTGGAGCTGATCCCCGGTGAGACGAGGACAAGGCCTGGCTGSGGAAGGGCACGCGTGTCGCATCCGTCCGGGTCACAGCTCCTGCGCTTTCTGTCTCAGAATTACTTCCAGAAGCTGGAGAAGCTGTCAGCGGCCGAGGAAGTGCAGGGCGATGGTCCCAAAAAGGAACGCACTAAGCTCATCACGCCYCAGGTGGCGAAGCTGGAGCACACCTACAAGCCAGGTAAGGGCTGGCCGTGTCCTGGGCGGCGTGGGGACAGCGGCAGCTCGGGAGGTGACACCCAGGCCTCTGCACGTGGTTCCTTCCGTGCTGGGAACAGGTCCTCCTTGACTTTGGGGACAACCACGAGGCTGCCCTGGTGTGCCCCTAACCCGGGGTGCAGGGGGCTGGGGCGCAGCCCGACTCCCTTTGCCTCCCCTCTCCCTTCCTGCAGTGCAGTTCGAGGGCTCGCTGGGGAAGCTGACCGTCTCCAGCGTCAATAACCCCCGCAAGATGATCGACGCCGTCGTCACCTCCCGCAGCGAGGACGATGTGAGTGCGGGCCCTTCCTCCCCCGAGGCGGCGCGGGCGGCAGCCCCGGCCCTCACCGCCCCGCTTCCCCCAGGAGACCAAGGAGAAGCAGGTTCGAGACAAGCGGCGCCAGACGCTGGTCACCATTGAGAAGGTGGGTGAGGGGCTCGGATCTGCCCCGGGGCGAAGGAGGAGCCAGTGGGGGTCCCCGTGCGGCCCGGCGGGCTCGTTCTGGTCCGCCTGCCCCGGAGGAGCGCGCGGMTCCCCGTGCCCCGCTGCGAGCCCCGTCTCTGCGGCAGACCTACAGCCTCCTCCTGGACGTGGAGGACTACGAGAGGCGCTACCTGCTGAGCCTGGAGGGCGAGCGGCCGGCGCTGGTGGGCGAGAGGAAGCAGAAGATCTGCGACATGTACGACAATCTGAGGGGGAAGGCGCCCGGGCAGGAGAGGTGAGACGTGCTGTGCCCAGCTCGGTCGCTGCTCGGGGCTCAGTCAGCCCGTCCTTGCTTGCAGCTGCCATCCTCAGCTTGCCAGGGACCGCTTTCCTCAAATAAAAGTTAGTTTAGTTGTTTCCTGGGGACAGGGGTGAAATAACCTTTCTTTTGTTTTGCCTTGCCACTTTGCTCCGTGCAGGGCCTCGGTGGCTCCTCCTCTGCTCTCCTTTCCCTCCCYGTCGGCCTGGCCCTTTCCGTAGTCAATTCCGAGTGCCCTTTCCAGCGCTAGCAGGGTCTGACATAGCTGGGCGGTGGGAATTGCTGCTCGTGCTGCAGGGCTGGAGCCGGCTCCACGTTGGCCCCGTGGGAGAGCTCGTGCTGTGGTCCTGCCTTGGGGTATGCGAGCTCGGTACCGCAGCCGAAGGGCCCGTCCTGGGGCCGAGCTGGGCCACGGGGCACCGTTCCCGGCGCCGCTTCCCTCCGAGCACGCGCGTTTCCGTGGGCCCGGGGCTGCGCCGCAGGCGGGTGGCACGTTTCTCCTCGGCAGGCCSAGCGACGACCATTTCGTACAGATCATGTGCATCCGCAAGGGGAAGCGCCTCGTGGGCCGCATYGTCCCCTTGCTGTCGCCGGAGCAAGCGGCCGACGTGCTCCTGGCCACGGCCCGCAACCTGCCCTTCCTCATCAAGAAGGACGCTCAGGACGAGGTGAGCGCGCCGCGGCGGGCAGGAGCTGTCCCTGCGAGCGGGGGACGCCGTGGGGTGGCCTGGCCGTGGCGGGGAGGGCTTCTCCCAACCGGTGCCTGTGCTCCACGCTGCCCGCTCTCTGCTGAGGGTTTGCAGAGAGAGGAGCCGGCTGCACGTCCCTCGGGCGGGAAGTCTTTCCCACTGTGGCCGGTGCTGCTGCAGGGAGGCGCGCGGGGCGCCCGTGCCGTCACGTCCCTGTGTCCCATCCCTGTGTCCTGTCCCCGTGACGCCCGCTGCTCTCGCCCAGGTGCTGCCCTGCCTGCTGCGGCCCTTCTCGCACGTGCTCTACCACCTCCCGCTGGCGACGCTCACCAGCCTCGCGCAGCAGCTCACCAACCTACCTCAGAGCGGCAGCGCCAACCCGCACCTCGCTGCCGTGCTCCAAAACAAGGTGCGCGCCCCCCCGTCCCGCCCTGCGTTCCCTTTGYGCTGCGGGACAGGGACGGCCACTTCCAGGGTCGCATCACAGGGTAAAAGCAGGGGGGTGACTCCGGCCTCCTCCTGCCCAGGGGAGCCCGGGATCTGCCTCCGTGTGTCCATAGGGGCGCGGGAGAAGGGGGCCGCCTTAACGTGGGTCAGTGGAACGACGCTGCCTGCAGAAAC